CAAGGCCTTTGCACGAATTTCATGCACCGGGCCTCTAGTGTTAAATAGAATTAGAGAAAGTGGTCATCCTTGCCCTATTCCTGGTCTTAGAGAAAAAGTCTTGAGTCTTTCACCATTGAGTACAATGTTTGCTGTTGATTTCTCATTATAGGTTTTATTATTTTAAGCTAATTTTCTTTTATTTCTATTTTGTTGAGTGTCTGTGTCTAGAAAGGGTGTTGGATTTTGTCAAATGCTATTTTTTTGCATCAATCAAGATAATGATTTTTATTTTTATTTTGTTGAAGTGGCATATTATATTGATGATATCTCAAACCATCCTTGCATTCTAGGAATAAATTTGGTCATGGTATAGCGTATCTTTTCAATATGCTGCTGAATTCTGTTCGCTGGTATTTTGTTGATAATTTTTTATATCAATATTTATAAAGAATATTGGTCTATAGTTTTCTTTAAAAATATTTTTATTGATTTCAGAGAGGAAGAGAGAGGGTTAAAGAGAATGAAACATCAATGATGAGAGAGAATCATTGATTGGCTGCCTCCTGCATGCCTCACACTGGGGATCAAGCCTGCAACCCAGGCATGTGCCCTAACCCTAGTGACCTCTTAGTCCATTTGTTGACACTCAACCACTGTTTCCCTGTGTTTTTAAAGGAACATTGGCCAGTCCCATATGAATTTTAAAATGAGCTTGCAAATTTCTTCAAACTAGCCATTGGGGATTTTGATTGGGATTTCATTGGATGCAGATCCCAAAGTCTATGGGTTTATTTGGGAAGAATTAATACTTTAAAAATATTTAGTCTTCCATACCATGAACAAGATATATCTCTCAATTTATTTTAAGTATTCTTTAATTTCTATCAGCAATACTTCCTAGTGGGTAAAGTACAAGTCTTTCACATGTTTTACCAGATTCAGATTTATCTGCAAGTATTTCATATTTTTTATGTTATTGTGATTTTTAAAAATTTAATTTTCTTATTTTCTACTGCTAGTATGTAGGAATACAATTTATTTTTGTATATTGATTTTGTAAACTGAAATCTGGCTAAACTCACTTATTGGTTTTCTCAGTTTTTCTGTAAATTCTGTCAGATATTCTACATAAATGATTATGTCATCTGGAATAAAGAAAATTGTACTTTTCTTTTTCTAATCTGGATGACTTTTATCTTTTTTTTTTCTTGCCTGATTGCTCTGGCTAGAACTTCAAGTATAATGTTGAATGGAAGTAGTGAATGCAAACATTCCTGTCTTGTTTCTGACCTTAGACGACAAGCATTCTGACTTTCACCATCAAGTAGGTCATTCTGAAGTCCTTCCAACGGCTTCCTCCTTCTCATGTCTGGGCTGTTGTTCAGATCACCTACGCTTGACCTCTCCACGTTGCAGAAAAGGAACCCGAATTTTTATCAAAGATGATTCTTTGTAACTAGGTAGTGATTTATGATTACTTTCATAATGAACTTTTTGTTCCCTTAAAGTTGCAAAATTCTAGAATTCAAGCTATCACTTGTCTTTTGATATAAAGAGTATCTTCTAAGTTCGAAGAATGCAGGCGTTTTCAAAGCACAATGTCACATTAAGACAAAATTTCCAAATATAAGATGATCAGAAACACTAACAAAAATATTGCTGCCTAATATAATTCTATTTATTCAATTGGACATGACTTTATTGAGTTGTCTCATGTACAAGATACTGTTCTAGGAGAAGGAATAGACATATTTATTTTCATGGCTCCTAGAGAGGTTAGACATTATCTAGAGTAGTAATACATTTAAACTGGTTCTGCATTTCCTTGAGACTTAAACTCCAACTACTGCCCATGGGAATTGTGTCTGGGGCAGGAAATGAAGCAAGAGCCTTGATAGAGAGCGGAACTTCCTCTAAGACTACCTGCTGTGTTTGGCTCATTAAACTGCCTGGTATATTAGGCCAAGACCGGAGATAGCTATAAAATCATACAATCCCTGGGTTGTTTTACCTTTCAGCATTGTAGTTTGGGGCACATATGCCCACTGCATTGGCAACTTTTGTCACTCACTTCACAGGCATGTTTTATTATAACATGATGCTAAGTGCTTTCAGCATTTTGGTCCAGTTAATCTCATCACTGGATAGACATTTTGTGCCTTTCTAGAAAACATTTTTAACTAGTCCCTAATTAATATATCATAAGGCAAAATCTGGATGTTTTAAGCATTAAAAGGAAAATTTAGTTAAGGGAAGAATAGTGATCGTTAGTTCTAATCTAATTATAGAGTCCAAACATAAGTTGATGACAGATGTCATATACCTTTTTAACACAGTCCCAATATTGATTCTTACTGAAACGAGTTTTTAAAAAGAGAAACTAGAAGTTTTCGTATACTAAATGGAAATAAGTCAACTTAGTAAAATGTAAGTAAGGCCAAGTGTGAATAACAATATTATGGTATTTCATGCAAACAAACTACTCTGTTGTTTAATGCTTCTTATTTTTTTAATTGAGAATTGCTAAAATATCTTAGAATACCCATTTTCTAGCGTAAAATGAAAAAAATTTATGGGTTTTCATGATTCCGTTTAAAGCAAAGGGAAATGTGTTTCAGACATTTTCCTTAAACATTCTCCTCTGGACAGGAAGTGGGCAGTGTCAACTGAAAATGTGTCCATCAGGTGGGAAGAAAACCTGCCAGTGTGACAAAAGATCTATGTCCCCTACTTGATGTGTTTTCTTCTTCTTTGGTATTTCTTTCTTAAAACTAAACCAAAGCTCAGTGACAGTTTAATATCAGAGAGAAAGCAGGTCAAACTACAGCTTACAGTGATTAGAGAGAGAATTGTATGCTGAGAGCTGGCCCTTTAAGCCCTTCTGGCAGATAAGAACTTGAAGAGCTGCCTTTCTTACAGAAATGACAGTCTCATCTTCAGGAGCAAAGGTCAAGCTCTGTTGCTCATTCATTGGGTGCCTTTAGGTAAATCTCATCTGAACTTTTCTAACTTTATAATGGAGATAATACTATTGAAATTTCTGTAACACTAAAATGAGGTAATTTACTGAAAATTTTCTTAAATTTTCTACACATATAAGACAGTGGTATGAAAACCATCTTAATAGGAATGTCTTTATATTCTATTTGGTAACAATACCCATATTTGCAAACATTTCATATAAATTCGGGTCTCTGAAAGCAATACATTATATGAGGAACACAATTTGAGCGTTTTATTTGCATTTCTTTGGATTCTTTTTTTTCATTTTTTTAATTTCAGAAAAAAGATTTTAAATATAATAATGTTACTCTTTGCATTCTTAATTCTCTTTTTTTCATTATGAGTTTCTTTTTTTATTGTTAAAAATACCATTCATTAAATAGATAATTATTGATTACTTATTATGTGTAAGGCACTGTACAGTACTTTTTGGAGCACACAAAAATGCTAAAACACTGTTCCAGTCCTCACTGAGTTTATACTGTTCTCATTGTCTTGGAAATTTACATTTTAGTATCATTAGACTGATTTGTGGATTTCATAGGTATGCTTCCTGAAATCATTCCTTGTGCAAAATTGATCATCACTTGAGTGTCAGCAGAGATTTTCAATGTAACAACTTTCCTCAGATAACATAATGC